TTTCAAATCATGCGGTTAGTACATGACGATGTAGGACACTTCGGATTTGAGAAGACTTATGAATTGCTATCCAGCCAATATTGGTTTAAAAACTGCGACGGTTCACAAAAAAGTACGTAAAAAACTGCCTTAATTGTCTCTATTTCAAATCGTCCACCGGAAAACTGCCGGGATATCTATATCCAATTAAAAAAATTCCACGACCATTTTACACAATCCATTTAGACTATTTAGGTCCCTTTGTTAAGTCTAAGTCAGGAAACTCACAAGTACTTGTTATCATCGACTCATTCACTAAATTCATTATTATCTATGCCGTTAAAAACACCACAACAAAGTCTACAATACGATGTCTGAAAGATGTAATCAAAACATTTGGCGCCCCACGAAGAATGGTAAGCGACGAAGGCAGATATTTACTAGTTCTGAATTCCAAAATTTCTGCCGAGAAATCGGTACCATTCACCATTTAACCGCTGTGGCTCTTCATCGGGGTAATGGCCAGGTGGAAAAATACAATAAAATCATATTAGAATCACTAGCCACATTGGGCGCGAATTTAGATAATAAAAGTTGGGACAAAAACATACCACGGATACAATTAGGGTTGAATGCCACAGTAAATAAAGCCATAGGGGTCACACCCAGTGAAGCTCTAATGGGGTACAGAGTCTTGTTACAGGGTAACATGCCACCAGATGAGTCGGAAGGTCTGGATGTCACGAAGATCAGGTGCGACATGGAGGAATTGATAGACAAACATCAGAAAGAAATGAAACAGAGGTTCGACCGTGGTCGCATGGCACCACATGAGTACCAAGAGGGTGATTTGGTCCTGCTACGCGTTACTAGCACCCCAGCAACTGGAAGTAGTCGCAAACTTCTGCCAAAGTGGCGAGGTCCATTCCGTGTGACAAAGGCATTGGGACGGGATCGATACGAGGTATCAGATATCCCAGGGAGCACACGCTCAAGGGTGCGATATTCGGGGGTAGCCGGGGTAGAAAGCATGAGGCCCGGATCCGAATATCGCCGACATAAGGGTTGTAAGTCCCTTATGGAAGGATGCATTGCGGATATGAACTCCCAAGGTAACGAAGGTTAGTCATTATCGTGTTAGGTAGGGAGGGGGGGGTTCATGCGTGCATACCTTGGTCACTGGTAAGCGCCGGGCTAGGTGACATTAGAATTATTTCGTCCAGCATTGAGTGAATATGTATACTGTCGTTTATACATATATATATTTTTAGGTTGAGCTTGGCCAAGTTTAATCCAAAATTTTAGGTATAGGTCCAGTCAGGAGAAACAACGTGATCCAGAAACCCTAATCTCGGTGCTCTATCTTACGATCACTGTTGATAACTATTGTCAAATTTCAGAACTAAAAGATTCAAGCGCCTGAATTACCCTACAAGGAGACATTCCACTCCATTCAGTCGAGCGAGGACGCTCTGTACCTGTCAGGAAGGGCCGTGTTAGCATAAACAAAATTTGGCCATGAGTCGAGGGGCAAAGGGGCCCAGCGGTACCGAACCCGGGAAAGGTTGTTGAGTGTGGGAGTGGCATTCGATCTCCGATCAGCAACCGATACGTATTAAAAAAAAGAGAAAAAATTGTGAATAAAAAAATATTGAAATATATTTAAGAGTGCGTTTGTTTTTAAAAATAAAAGTTCTTCTAACATCATTATAGTTACAAATTCTTTCCTGTTTATTTTTCCACTCGCATAACTTATTTGTTTTCAATTAATTCAAATAATGAACTATTTTAGCGTAATTCTCAATTTTAGGATAATTATTAGCGTCTAAAAAAGTTCTTAATTCAGTTAAATTATTTGGATCTGGAATTTTTAAAATTGCATTGATTCTATCCTTAGAAATGTTAGTTCCCCCTTTACCTAATTTATATCCCAAAAATTTTTCATTTAGTACAATTATTGCTAATCTGAGATACTTAATCTAATTTGAGCTATTCCAGTGAACATATCCAATTTCTCCCATGATTGGCTCACTATTGCCTAAAAGCATAAGCAAAGATAACTGTAATTGTTTATTGTTAAACTTAACTATTACATTTACCATTCCCAAAAGCCTCATAACATCCCCCTGATATAATTGAAAGCATCTTTTAGTAGGTAAAGTTTTGAATTATTTAATTTACAAAATTAATTTTTCTTCATGAACTCACAACTAAAGGATTCATATCATTTTTATTTCCAACGTTTTTAGTTTCATCGTTCATAAGAAACCGTTACTTTAAATCGCTGTCACAATATATGTTCTGGAAATTTTTCTTTTGCAGGTTACCTTTGTTTACGTTTTTATTTTCCCTAGAATAATTATTCTTTCCCTCTCTATTAAGATCGCTCATTGTTTCATTATGCCTATCCCATGCGATTTATTACGGTACTCTTTTTAGGTGACCTGTTTGATTGCAAATATTACAATTCAAGAATCTAAATCTACACTGACAGTTTGGTTTTTCATAGCAAAAACATTGAACTGCAGACGAAGACAGTCTACTGTTGTCACGCCTTCCCTTTTTGAACTCCCGTCTATTAACGCTGTTCAATTGCTACTCTTGAAGATTTGAAGAACATCTACTCGTCAATTCTAAAGCTGTTGCTAACATAATTGTTCTCTGATATGTGGGATTTATTTCATTTGGAAGTCTTTTCTTCACACTTTCGAATCATCGAACTCGTTCAACTGACTGATTCACGCCGTTCCACCTTGAGTCATTTTATCTTCTTTTACTACTTACTACTGCTAATATAAAAAAGTGATGGGAAAAAAACATTTGAATATCGGCGCAACTTTTTGCATAGCCCCATATTTTGGCATTCTGAACTTCTTTCTAGAACTTTTAAGCGAAACCTTCTGTTCTCTATTTTTAACCACTCTGAATAGTAAATTAGATTTAGAAAACACCGACGATTTTGTATTGAAACAACAAATTCTGTTTGAAAACATACAGTTTAGCCGTAACGAGCATATTGCGTACTTTTTGAGTCATTTAACTCGAAAAAATCGCCGCGATTTTTTGCATATCCCCATATTTTGACATTCTGAATTAAATACATATTTCTCAGATCTGTCATTTAAATGAAACCTTATTTCTTCTATTTTCGAACACTCTGTATAGTAAATCTTGTATATTAAAATAGGGAGCGCGTAGGTACTTTTTGGGCCAGCCTGCTTATGAGAAATATAATGCATTTGCTTAAAAGTTGTTTATTAAAGAATGACTACATAAATCGAAAATTAAATTTAATAAGTAACAATAAGTGTTGTTTTGCTGCCTAAAAAAGGCTATTGTTTTTGGTAGATTTTTTTGAGATATTTAATCAAAATATAACAAATGTTTTCACTAAAATTATATCTAATTTAGGGCAATTTTATTATAGGAGAAAAATCGATCTTTTCATAATTTATTTAAATATTGTTTCTAAATTATAATTCAATAATAATAATCTTATTAAAGGTTGTCTTGAAACGCTGGATTTACACTACGGGCACTAGTGCCCAAGGCGGTAAATTCGGTGCTTGAGAAAAAATTTGCGCTATCAAAAATGCTTGAAAAAGTATGCATTTACGTGTAAAGTTATTACTTTTTTCAATATTTGGATAGAAATATCTTTTAAATTAATCAATCGGTTGAGGTACGATTCACACAATTTGTTAATCTAATGATTTTGTCTGGAATATTGGTCATGGAGTGGCATTTTTTATAGTGCCCAGGGCGGCATTAAGGGAAAACTCACCCCTGCTACAGTATTTACTTTCAAATGAATAAAAACAAATAACACAGACTATTTTATTGATATCGTCAGTAAAACTACCATTTTCCACATAATTGGATGAGAAAACGTTTGAGGTACTCAGAAATTGTAATCAGTTTTAAAGCTGGTTTAAACTGACAAGCAAATAATTATGTTTTTATTCAAAAATTTCTGTTTCAAAACGACGATGAAAACCTACATTATAAGGTATGTTAAAAAACTTTTTAAAATTTAAATTTCTCTTATCTGGAGGTTTGATAAACCTACATATTTTCTTTGATAGTGTAACAAATCTAAAGCCTCCATTATAAGTGGGTATCCAGTACTAGTAAAGGGTGTCCAAAATATAACTAAAATGTACGGTTTTCTGTGTTTATTTAACTTTACACATCCATAAATGTTGAGATACTGCTTACTTTGTGGCAAGTTTTCTGCACACCCAAAGTCTAGTGGAATTTCATCTTGATTTCTCCAATTTTCTTTCAAAATACTTTGATTGTTCTTATCTTCTATGTACCACCCCAAACACATAACACTTCTATTAACTGGAAAACATTCTTCATTCAAATATTTTATTTCATTTATTTCATAAAAAACGTATGGTTTATGATCTACGAATAACGGATGATTTCTTTTTTTATCTGAAGAAATTATCATTTTACTGGACGTTGCTCAATTTATTAGTTTACTACTAGTTTTAATTAACAGGTTTTATTTAACGGTTTTTAGTAATGACAACAGACAAATTAAACAGGGTATTGACCATAGATAATAGATATACAAAGGGTAATAGCCATAGACATATATAATAGACGCATAGACATATATTAATGGACGTGCCTTAGCCGTTGGACGTTGTAATAATTTCTTGGCTCGAAAAGTGAGGGAGATGGCGTAGGGTTTCGGACTAATGCTATCTCTTTCATGACACGCTTCCGCACCATCGTAAGGAAGGTGGATATTGTCCGAAACTCGTTCCATCTCTTTCTTTTGTTGTACCACAATTCTGACCGCTAGGGCATGTCCATTAATAAACGTGGATGGTGCTACTCATAGACATATATTAATGTAGGTGCCTTAGCCGTACGTTGTTGTAATAATTTCTTGGCTCGAAAAGTGAGGGAGATGGCGTATGGTTTCGGACTGGTGTTATCTCTTTCATGACACGCTTACGCACTATCGTGAGAGAGGTGGATATTGTCCGAAATTCGTTCCATATCTTTCTTTTGTTGTACCACAATTCTGATCGCTAAGGCATGTCCATTAGTAAACTTCGATGGTGCTAGTTATCTCCTTCTACCATAGATAACGATTATCTATGGATAAGGATTGACCTGACATGACCTAATATCATCTATGGATTGACTGTACGACGTGTGTCGTGTATGACGTCAAAAACAATAATTTAAGTCAACTAACAGTCAACTATCTATGCAGTCAACTAATGTATAATTAAACAAGCAACACAAGTTGTCAATAAATGAGTTTGAAACGATTTTCTCAATTTGTAAATAATAATTTACTGTTAATAGTATGTATTCCCATGATAATCACTATACACTGGGGATGGAGCAAACTTCAAGAAATACCATATTTGGTTGATGAATCTGAGAGGAAAGGAATTCCTATTGTAGAGGTTGTTAACGACGTAAAATACATTAACACATTTCTTCGTAACTTTTTAGTTTTTTAGGCTGTAAAGGTGTTTAGAAAAAAGTTATGGCAAACAAAAATTACAGAAGCAGAAAATCCCAAAAGTGACTTAAGTAAAGAATAAATATGTATAGAGTGTATAGTTTTGTTAAAATTACTGTAGTTTTTTTAGTGTTATTAAATTCATGAGTTATATGTACCTATTGTATTTTTGGACTGCAAATGTGTAAATTATATTTATATGTTCTGCACCTTCTATTACATTACTTTCTGTTAGGGGTTGGTTTCTTTGACATTGTTAGTGATTAGACGAAATTGACGCTATTTGCAGATTCGAATCCTCTGCAGTTTTTTTTATTTTCATGGTTCTTGGAGATCATTGTATATTCTGAGTTTCATACTGTGTAGCATCAGTTTTAGGAGGTAAAGTGGTCCAGACGGTATCTGCTTAAAGCCACCTATGTTTGGGTAAATTGGGTTAAGAGTCTAGGAAGAAGCGTCTTTCTGAATACGTTCATAATCTGTTTGAAATATGAATGGTTAAGAATTGGCAGTTATTGCATTTATTTATAAGCAAAAAAAAAATTGCTGTCTAAAATATTCCCTAGTGTCTCCAAATCAGTGAATTGCAATTTTGTAAGTTAGGTTCCAAAGTTATCCCATTTCATTATCATCTTAAGATCGTCAGTCTTAAGACTAGTTGGACATGTACCTCCACTCCTTTTTATCCTGAGTTAATCTTCACATTTACCTAAAACTAGAACATCCTACATCTTTAACTATTTGCGAACAGTAATCTAATCTAGGTCTACCTCTACCCCTCCTAACTCCCGTTTCTGTCTCTAATATGTTTTTGACTAGACTTTCATGCCTGAGAAGATGTCCTACCAAACTGTCTCATCTATTTTTTTATTGACTTCCATAGAGTCCTTTGTTCTCCTGTTCTTTCTAATACCTCTTTATTTCTAACCTTCTGTATCCATGGTACCTATCCTTATCATTCGCCAGTAACACAACATTTGGAACGCTTCTAACCTTTTCTTTTCCGCCGCGCCCACCGTCCACGTTTCGCACCCATTACTGCGTTGAAGTTCTCTACAACTATTGGGTTTTCTTGCCCCTTCAATAAACTTAATACGCTTGCATAAACCGCTTTTACGTTTTTATCATTGTAAAATGATGTAGGATGTAGACCTTCACTATTACCGTTTATACCGGCTTCGAGTTTAATTTAACCATAACTATCCTATCGCCTTTTTGTAAATACCTTTCTACATTTTGACCTACTTTCAACCAATCCTGAATGTATTATTCTAAAGTTTCCACACCAGAAGTCTCCAACTTCTAGCCAACGGACTTCACTAATGCCTACTATATCTAATTCTAGCCTACTCATTTCAACTTCCAAATTCTCTAATTTCTCTACTTGCCTCATGGTTCTAACATTCCACGCTCCGTCTCGTGAAATATTGCACCTGTCCCTATTGCACTTACTGATGACATACTCCAATATAGTCTCCTTGCGGACTTCCGAATGAGGGACTAGTTTATGTCTGGAGTGCTTTACCCCAGAGGACGCCATCATTCGGGTTTGGTGTGTTTTTCTTGGGATATCATAATCTGGTTGCCTTCCACATCGCAGTATTGTGCATCAGAGTGCCATACCGATCCTCGTGATATCCGCCACCCTGAGTACTGAAAGAGCTGTAGCCCTCCTTCAGGGACTTGTCTTAGTCTGGTTTCTCTTTAAGAAACTCCTAATTGTGGTTAAACCTATGGTCCGGCTCCTTAAATCACTGAAACTCGCAAGCCGATCCACGCACTCTAGTTTGTACCAGAACTTCGTCAAGGTTCAAGTCCCGTCGGATCGGATCCCATTTATTATTTAAAAAAAAAAATGACTGNTATTTAAGTGCAAAGCCAGTGAAACTGCAAGAAAATATGGTATAGATACCCATTTTCAAGAAAAAAGGCAAAGGAAAGTTAAAAAACGTTTTGGTGGTTTAGCTACTGATCACCGATTTCGCGTCTGCATGTAAACACCTGACTACACCGATCATGAAGGTTCGAAGTTATATAAAAATTGTGCAAATATAAAATAAAATAATAAAAATAAAAATACATTTTTAAAAACAAGCTTTTATTTAAAAAAACCTGAATTAAAAAGGAAAAAATAAAATTAAGTAACATGTCTTATATATGTATGTAAAGATACTATTGTTGTTGATTTTAAGACCACTAACTATTAACTAATAACAACACTCAATTTTAACAATTTATTTCTACTCCGTTTACACTCAGCATATACAAGTTTTACATCCGTCGTTCTACGACTGACTATCCCCTATTAACCCCGCAGGGTGCAGGATAAGTGCCTGTTGCGTAAATGTATCTTGCGTCTATGCGTGCGTTTCCAGATGGCCCTTATGAAATTAGGTTACGAACAGGGAAATTCCACCCTGCGCCAACATAAATTCCACCCTCCGCTAACATGTATATACATGAATATAGTAGGTAAATTCTAAGTTCGGAGGGACCCCTTTATTGGTAATTTTAAAAGCTTGAGGCACTGATTTGTTATGCAGGTTCACTGTACATTATCAGTGCCTCAAGTTTTTAAAATTAGCAAGAGAGGGGTTACTCCGAACTTAGAATTTACTTACTATATTCATGTATATACATATATGACATATCACTTAATTTTATTTTTTCCTTGTTAGTTTACGTTTTTTTAAATAAAAGCTTGTTTTTAAAAATTCGTTTTTATTTTTATTTTTTTATTTTCGCACAGCGTAAATGACACAATTATGTAAAAAATCCGATCTGGATGAAATTCGGCATCCTTAGTTTTGCTGATAAAAAGTTTTATTTCATTTCATTCAGTTAGACGGTCTTAGGAGTAACTTAAGTATGTATATGAAAAACTTTTTGCAAGTAACTTAAAATTTTAATGCTTTTTGTAATGAATTTTTTGATTTGTTAACAAATGCATCATAGAAAGTTTAATTACGAACATTTTTCAATTGTTTGATTTTCCTTAAATGTTGATAGTTTTTGAGGTACAAGCCATAATTTGGAGAAAGAAAAAACGTTTTTCCTCAAGTTTTTATTATTTGTTGAATAAAAATAAAAAAGGAAGGAAGACCAGGATTTTGCGAGGACGTATAGTGAAATTATTATTTCTGAGGACCTTTCGGAGTGATTCTAAAAAAAGTCTAGTCTCCGACCCAAACTTTTCAATTAAGGACAGATACCGTCTGGACTAATCGTAAGAGTATGTTTCTGATTTCAAAATTTGCATTTCTGTTAGGCGTCCCATACACCTATAATAATTTTGCACAATATTTTTATTGTGCAGTAATATTGAATATTCCCTTTGAGTCCAAACGTTCAATAATATTTAGCAAATATATCTGACAACGGAGCTGTGCTAGTGATTTTGTTGAAAACAGGAAAAAAAGAAAACGAATATGGCATAAAGAATGGTTTAAAAAATGACCACTCTACACTCATGAAAGACTTTTAAAGGGCTTTAAACATTAACGTAAGAAAACGATTTCAAAAACTATATGATAATGGATATTGCAAAGTTCGAAGAATTGCTATAATAAGTAAAACCTCTGATAGTGAAAAAGAGCACAGTTATGAAGGAGGCGATTTCATCATATCAACGTTTATCTATAACTTAATTAGCAACTGGAAATACTTTCGAGAATTTAAAATTTAGCAGTGCTATTTCCCCACAAGATCTTAGCATTATCACTATGGAAACCTGTGAAGCAATAATACAAGTTCTCAAAGATTCTCCCTTTCCTTGTCTTTTACCGAATTATTCGCCATTTTGATGCGCGACTCCATACTACACGTGACTGAACTGATCGCAACAACTCCAAACAGTGAACTGAAAAATATTGCGCCATACTAACCATACACAGTGCAAGGAAAACATACTACACAATAAAATTTAAGCTCCCTCAAACTTCTGTTCAATCATTGCGCAATTTTCCAATATTATCCCTATACCGCTAATAATATTGTGCAATATTACTGTACGTGTATGGGCCGCCTTACAGTGAACAAAATTCTGCCTTTCCTTCATTCAACAGAGTGGATGTGTTGTTGCAGGCATAATACGCATAGAGAAATATAACATTATCAGCGGATGGTGTTTTAAACCGTTTTTACATATTTGTTCCGGCCGCTCTGGGTGTTACATGTTCTGTAGTTCCCATAAACTTTTGCGAACTTTCAGGGATTCCAGGTAGAGATTCGGGAGATGCGGGAAACGATAGATGGTAGAATATACAAAAGATGAAAATGATATTTTCGAAAAAATTAACTATAATGTATAATTCGTAATAGTAAAAGTTATAAGAAATTGTGTTAAGGTTTATAGTGCCGTGGCGGGATAACCTTCGTCGCATACGTTCCCGTCAGAGTCCTTTTACACGTTTTTTTTTCTGATGAACCAACATATATTGAATTTTCTGTTTTCGACTTTCATATAACATTCGACGCATTAATTAGTCATGCTGACTTGACTAAAATGAATGCAATAATAAATTATTCTAACAATAATTAACTACCGAACACACAAATTCATTTTCACGAGACCAGAGATGAAATTCTAACAAATATCTCTTGCAAAATCCCATTCAATTTACACAAAGGAAGTTGTGTTATTCTCGACCACGAACAAATTGTATCAGGTATCTACAATGTAGATAACGGTTTTTGCTGATGTGCAATGTCTCAATAATATTCACATCAAAGAGCTTATGGATGTAGATACCCTTGACAAATACGTTTACTCAGACAAAGCCCTAATTGATGACAATTTAAATTGCGCCGTAATTAAACAAATGAGATTAGATCACATGAACAATGAAGAAAAAAATAAAATTACAAACTTTGCAAAGAATTTAATTCAATTTTTAGTGACGATCAACAGAAATTATCCGCTACAACACAAGTACAAAAAATTTCCGTTCAAATTAAACCGCCTCTTATCTCCTTACGCTTCCCTTGTTTGGATAGTTCCAAAAAAGATGGATGTTTCAGGAAAGAAAAAATGACGCATGGTCATTGACTTTCGCGAACTTAACAAAAAGACAATAGGAGACAAATACCCTTTACTAAGAATCGAAAACGTTTTGGATTTTTTAGGAAAAAAAAATGTTCCTATTATCCTACTTTAGA